CCTTCTCCCAAACGCTTGCAGCCTGTCTCACTGGGTGACAGAACTAAACCATCTGTGGGAGGCTGAGCAGGGCGGGCTCCGAGCTCCTGGGACGGGCATCAGGACGAGCCCACGGGGTTGGGAGCGGGTTAAGAAGACACCATCTTGCCTTAGGGTGAGGATGGTTGAAATAGGCTGAGGGAGGAGAGCAGCTTTGAGATTACAGGAGGGTGAAGAAGGGGAAGATGGTAGATTTTTATAAGGGAAAACTAGACAGCAGTGAAAATGGACAGCTGTAGTGACACAAAAATACCAAACATGGATCTCGCGGCTACACTGTGGAGTGAGAGATACACGCTATATGATTCATTTATAGGGTCCAAAAACCAAACCATACTGTGTAAGGATGTAACATGGACACTAAAACCATAAAGACAAGCAAGGATGTAAGTACCATAAAAACCAGTTATCGTTGGGGGTAGTGATGGGGGGCGGGGTCGCGAAAGGGGCTCCGGGTGCTGACAGGGCCCTAGTGTTTGACCTGGGCGGTGGTCACATGGGTGTTTGTGATGATACATGAAGCTACACGTTCTAGTTCTTTGTGCTCCTCTGTGTGTGCACAGGTCGGGGGGAGAGGAGTAAGAGCCAATGAAAGGAGCTCTGAGCTAGGGCGGCTGCAGGAAGAAGGCACTCCTTGTGCTCCTCTCCATTCTAAAGGCTGTTTTGTCCATTTCAGCATCTCTGAACCAGGGTGCACCTGCTGTTGATGATGAAATGTGGGCTGTTTCGGGGCCTCGCCATCCTGCTGCCCCCTCTGGTTGGCCTCTGAGCCTCTAGAGCCATGTAGAGCCGACACCATGGGCCTCAGGCCTCGCCCACAGGGACCAGCGAGAGGGTGCGGCTGGCCCTGGGCGACGCTGGGCACCGGGAACGGGAAGGGAAAGCTGGCCCTGTCCTGCTCCACAGCCAGCTTGGGGCCGAGGAGGCTCCTTCCCGGGCTGTGTCCCGTGGTCACCTGGCCGGCCTTGTGCTTATCGGCATGGGTAGGGGGAGGGAGGACAATCTCGGGGTGGCTCTCAGTGACAGCATTCGCCTGGCCCCTCTCCACCAGCCCTGGCCAAGCCTCCTTCCGACCCAGGGCCCCACGGAACCCATTCTTCAAACCAAAAGACGCCTCAGCTTCAGCTGAGCCCGGAGACTGTGGCTATGGGCTGCGAAGGGAGGTGTCAGAGGGAGGCAGGGACCATCGGGGTTAGATTCCCAAGGACATTCCTGATGGCATCTGGTGCCATCAGCGCCTCCCTATGTAATGCCTATGTAATGCCTTCTCTGGAGACTCAACATTCATGGAGGGTAGGATGTCTGGGAGGCATTGCTACACCGTATGGAGTGAGCCCATGGAGCCACCCCCACGCCTTCATTATTTTGCATCTACTCGGAGGAAACTAAGACATCAAACAACCGATCGCCAAGGTCACACCGCGGATGAGTGGTGGGCAGGACTGACCCCTCCAGGGCCATCCCCTGAGCCACCGGGCAGCAGTCCTAGTCACCTAGTCACGCATGGCCCCACGCGGCCCTGAGGGGGAGCTGTCCTTTCCTCGCTTGTCTGTGCCTTTCCAAGGAGGAATTACCTACTTCCAGAGGCCACTGCCTGCGCCTCCCTCCCGGGTCCCCCCAGGTAGCCCCGAGAGTAGCCACGCGGCGAGGCGGCCCCCAGTCTCACTGGATGCCTGCCCTGTCCTTGGCCCCGAGTCCTTCCAGTTGTGCTAAAAGTAGCATGGCCAGGCCCAGGTCTGCTCGGGGCCAGGCTATTTTGATTGTGTCCTCAGGAACCATCCCCTGCTGATGGGGGGGAGGGGGTGGAAAGGCAGGTGTGGTCCCTTCTCTCAAACACTGGCAGCCTGTCTCTCTGGGGCAACAGAACTAAACCATCTGTGGGAGGCTGAGCAGGGCGGGCTCCGAGCTCCTGGGACGGGCATCAGGACAAGCCCCTCCCAGGAGCTGATACAGCGTGCGTCTTTCACTCCACAGTGTAGCCGTGAGGTTCGTGGTTGGTATTTTTGTGTAACTACAGCCGTCCATTTTCACTGCTGTCTAGTCTTCCCCGTCACACCCTCCTGTCATCTCAAAGCCGCTCTCCGCCCTCTGGGCGCTATTTCAACCATCCTCACCCCAAGGCAAGATGGTGTCTTCTTAACCCGCTCCCGGGACCCATCAGATGTGGCGCCAGGAATGTTCCAGTGCACACGCCTGTCCCCCAAGCTGCACAGCTGCTGCCCCCCACCCCACGGCCTCCATCACGTGCCCCCTGAGATATTGGCTCCTGGAGAGAGGGGGGCGCTGGGACCTGCGCACTCATTGGACAAGGGGTTAGCATCCTCATCCACCAGCCGGCTTCCGTGATGCTCCGCTTGGCTCTCTCCATGTAGCGGGAACGTGTTCGTCTGGGTTTATGACACCCACGCGCACGGAGGCCACACCAGAAGCCGCCTCAGAGACAGCAAACACTACTTCCGTGGGGGCTGAGAAAGCTCCTTCTCTGGGGGTGCTTACAGTGGAAGAGACTCGCATCTGGCTGGCTTATAGGGGTCCCAGTGCAGGGCTCCCGCCCCCAGGGCCCACCCCTCCTTCACTGGGAGGGCCTGGTCCTTCTTCAGAGTCCACGGCAGGCCCACCTCCAGGGGTGGAGCGGGGCGCGGGTGGGGGAGCCCTCCCGACCAATCAGCCCCACCCCCGTCTCTCACCACCGAGTGGACTTACACCTGCCCTTTAATAAAGAGGTTTCCTCTCACCCAGCGCCCTCCCCTCTCAGCTCCGAGCTCATGTCAGGCACCTTTCACTAGCGGACGCCCAGGCGGCGGCTTCCCAGCACCTGTAGGTGGTGAACAGGCGCGGCCGGCTCCGCCAAGGAAATAAGTTGGCCATCGTTTGGGGGTTGGGTCACTCATCTGTTCAATACCCGGCATCGAACATCTCCCTGCCTGCTGCTGGTCTGCACCCTGGAGACACAGTATCTGATGAGACTGGGCCCCGCCTGGGGTCCTTCCCGGGTTGTCACGTAGTGGGCTGTGCAGTCATTCACCTGCAGTGAGGCCAGCTTTGCCCCAGGGGATTGCCACGGCCTCCCCAAGGATTTCATCCGTGACGGGTCTTCGCTCATGCAGGGAACGTGGGGGGAAAGAGCATCCAGAAAGGGAACAGCATGTGCAAAGGCATGGAGGCACGGAAGGGCCTCGTGGGGCCCAAGAAAGCTAATTAGCTTTGCTGTGTTCTCAGACCGGCTGGCCATGGGCAGCTTGGCTCCTTGGTGAGAGGGATGGGAGCTCCGTGGGGCAGGGAGCAGGGTGTGGGCACCACCCCTTCCCCAGAAGGTGTGGGTGCACAGACCCTCTGCCGCTCTGCCTCCTGTGGCTGCAGTCTCTCCTCCCAGCCTCCCATCGGGAGGAGACTGGCTCCTTACCACGGAGGTGCTTTCCTTCTGTTAGAATCTTAACGTTGCACCAGCCACAGGCCCGGTGCCCCGGCTGGCATCGGAGGTGTGAATTAAACAAAGCAGGGTTCTGATGACTTGGGCCAGGCTGCTTCCTTTGTCACCGATAATGAGGGCGCTCCCCAGGCAGATCATAAACTCATTCCCTAGAGCCCTTCAAGCACCTTGCTGACATCATCCAATAATAACAGCATGAGGAGCCCCTCTTACTGAGCTGTACAATTTCACTTACTCGTTAGATGACTTTGTACGTGGCATGCCTGCGCTCACAGCTAGTCAAAAGCCGGGATTTGGGTCCCAGTCTTTGGGGCTTTAGGAAGCCCAAACACCACTCTGGCCGGCTTCGCCCTCTGCCCTAGGAGCCCCCCAATCGCCTCTGGCTTCCAGGGCAAGGCTCTGATCCACTCGGACACTCACCGCACCTTTATTCCAGGTGCCTGGTGCACAGGCCTGAAAAGACACAGAGACCCAGCTATCACGTGGTTCTCCGCCCAGGGAGCTGGAAGGACCCCTTCCCGCTGCCCCTCAAAACGCCCATTGTTTAGCGAGACCTGTTCAGCTTCCCCAGCCTCTGGCCGACACCCTCGCTCCTTAGCCTCCACGGCACTCATTTCCCAAACCACAGCACCTGTGGCTTTGTCTCTGCCGCTCAGCAGTCCCTGCTGTGTCGTCGGCAGGTGGAAGGTGAGTTAATAAGACACGGTCTCTGCCAGTGTGTGAGAGACACATGTGGTCGGGGCACGGGCTGGAGAGCTCAGGGATGGCACAGACACTGCACCCCTTCTTCCCCCCACCCCCAGCCACCAACTCGACCTTGTCAAATGGCATCATGAGTGATGCGAGGGAAACGACTCAACTCAGAAGGGCTGCGTAGCAAACTGCAGGGAACACAGCGCAGGGCGCACGGGAGAAGCCGTTCAGCGCTTCGCCCGCAGTGTGGGAAGGCGGCACCGAATGGCTGCCTTACACAGTCTGGGTGTGATGCTTAGTAAAGGAAAGTAAGTGCGTGAAGACTTACAGGCTAGGACGTATTACACGAGCAGGGATGTCGCTCTATGTATCTCCTGCTTCCTAGGATGCCTGGCATGAATCTGGGCGCACAGTGGGTATACAGCACATGTCAGTTAACTTACATGGAGTTGATTCACTCACCCCATTTGCCAGCTCTGATAGTCCTGTGGCTTTCAATGCCACTGCGTCTCCACACTGGCAATGCCTGCCCTGCCGCTGGGGGTCGGGGAGGACCAGGTGCGGAGGATGTAGACTGCCTTGGAGGCTATTAACATATATAACGGTCCCGTTATGGGGGTCTGAGTTGAGGCTGGGGCCCCTCATTGTGGAGCCAAAGGCATGGAGCAGCCACTCTCCAAGCCATAAGCCCCTTCTTTTGGGGAAATAAACATTACACTTTCTCCAGTTTGGGCTTCCAAACCACAGGCCCAGAATAGTGCCTGACACAGGCATGGTCCCTAAGGGGCCCAGGCCGCCACAGGCCCACCCCTCACTAGCCCTTCACCTCTCATTTCAGCATCCCTACCCCACGGAGGATGAGAAAAGGCAGATCGCGGCCCAGACAAACCTCACCCTCTTGCAAGTCAATAACTGGTGAGTTAGCATCGTCCACCCACAGGCCCTCAGATGCAGAGGCCACTTACTTGGCACGGGAATGCGCAGCCTGGAGGAGAGACGGAATGCCTAGTCCTGCCTCAGTCACAGCCACCACGCCAGTCCTCCCATTTGGACTGGCAGCAGAAAGCCAGCATCAGCACAGGCCCGATCGCTTCATTTGCAGCTGCTTAGCGCCCTCTGCTGGGAAACTGTGCTGCAAACATCACTGGACAGAAAACCCAGCCCCAGCTGCACTGCAGACACACACAGGTGCCTGCAGCCAAGGACTGCAGGGGCCACCAGTGGTCACCTGGTCTGCCCCCACCTATGTGAGCTTAACTAAAATGTTCTGCAGTGCGTGGGGGGAAGGAGGAGGAAGTGTCAGCCGTCCTGACAGCACAGGGGCCTCAGCTTCCCCTTCTCTGTGTCGGGCTGGGCTATCAGAAATCTGAGAGGGGGTGGGTATCTGGCTGGATGGGAGTACACACAGGATTGGGCTCCCTGATCCAAGCCCTCAGTCCTCGGAGAGAAGTCAGAGGTTAGTGCCTTTGACTAAGGGGGCTCTTCCGTCCTCTGTTCAACCCTGACAGGTATGAGTAAAGATTTCTGACCCTCACGCGTCCATCCCATGCTGCCTTCTGGTTACCAAGCGATTCCATGAGTCCTGGGGGCCCAGGGCCTTTTACCAGCTGGGCTTTCACCCCCAATCAGACCCCAGTCTGTCCTGTACAGTGGATCGGCTGCTGAGTCTGGAAGGAGCTTAGCCCCCTCTGCACGCACACACGCGCGCGCGCGCACACACACACACACACACACACACGCACGCACACC